CACATGACTATGGTCAAAAACATTACTGCTCCTGCCTTCTCTGGAGTCTGTATTCCGAATTATTTCCTAAGGGCTATGCAACCCTAATACAAGTAGTCCTTCACTTATGACTACAATTGGAACCAGAATTTCTGTTGCTGGGCAAGATGGTTGTTGCTTTCTGCCAGTACTTTTTTGTCACAGTTGTTAAGTGAATCAGTGCAGTTGTTAAGTGAATCATGTCATTAGGTGAATCTTGTCCCCCCCCCCATTGACTTTGCTTGTCGGAAGCCAGCTGTGAAGGTTGCCAATGACGATTAAAGGACTCCTAGACATTGGAACTACCCTAAACACGTGCTTGTTGCCAAGCACATGAATTTTGATCATATGGCTATGGGGATGCTGTGACAGTTTTAAGTGCAAGTACTAGTTGTACGTTACTTTCTTCAGTGATGTAACTGAACAGCCGCTAAACAAATGTCTGTTAAGCTGAGCCTTGCCTGTACTTTCCTAATTTTATTTCCACAATGATTATCTGGGGGTTTCTATTAAGAAAGTATGAGTGGCCCAAAATTATTTGGTGAGTTTGGTCTCCCAATTCAACCTCTTAATATTATCTCATCTTCCAAATGTTCATGTATTTCTAACAAGTCCCTCTGCAGTATATCTACGCATTTACCATAGTCCCAACATTTGTGACCTTGGTTATCGCTACCTCCAAGATTGTTGGAAAGTAGGTTAGATCCCTATAGCAGGCTGGGTAAGTGGACCAGTTATGTAAACCAGGTTATGCTGTTGTCTTGAGAGCAGTGTGAACAAAGCAGGAGCTAAGATGTGGGGAATAGTGAATTGCCTTGTCAAACGTGGGTGGAGATAACAAGTAATCCCCCTTCCTCCCCCTCTCCTCACAGCCTTTTTTAAGGAGTCGGGGTTTTGCTAGATGCAGTCAGACTTCTTGTCCCGAGTGGTCTGTCTGTTTGGCTGCCTCTCTTGCATAGCCTCTGGAAGTTTGGAAGGATTACCGCCATACCTTACCTGAGAAGTTTGTGTGCATGAAAGTCACAGGAGGGAGATTTGGCTGGTAAATAAGTTGTGCAGTGGTTTATCTGGAGTTGATGGAGAAAAGTCTATTGCTTATGATTTTTAGCCCTCAATAATGATTTGCTGTCTTGTAATCTTCTTTAGATTGTGGGTTGCCCTAAATTTCAGTCTGGTTTGGGATCGAGGCTGAGCAGCTTGACATAGAACGTAAATACGTAAATATGCCTAGTTATTATTTGTACAAGCTCAGGTAATTTGTAATCAGCATAGAAAACTAGTTTGTTGATTTCCTTTTATTTTGCTCATTAAAAAATCTATGAACAGGAGGAGTGGTGCTTTGTTGCAGCCAGAGTGCCAGGTTCACGGGGGTTAGGATACTGCAGGTGATATCTGTTTTAGTATTTTTATTATTTGTTTGTTAGATTTATATCCTGTTTTTCTCCAGGAGAACGGGGTGATGTATATTGCATTTCCTCCTCCAATTTCCCCCCCCATAACAGCAGCTTTAAAAAAAGGCTATACTGAAAGAATGATGGTCCTAAATCTCCAGTGGCTAAGACTGTTATTTTGATTAGTAATTGCAATAATAAACATCCGAGGTTGAAAGTAGACTTGAAACAGGATTTCCTTAGTCCTAGACATGTTTTTACTAAACTGATGGTGGTCTGAGCTGATAGTCCTCATGTTTTGTTGTGCTTGATAACCAACTTTATCTTTGGAAGTGGAGAGATTTTGCTTATTTGTTTCTTTCTGTTAGGAGAAAGTAAGTACTTTTCTATCCACAGACTAGGAGGGACAATTCCTTTTGGAAAAAAAAGCAAATATATTGACTGAGTTCTAAAGTCTTTCTTACCTATAGTTTTCTGTGTTCACATGATACACTGAATCATAGACCAACTATATGTGTTTTATGTCCATGTAGGCAAATCTTTCATTTCTAGTTTGATGTATTATATAAACCCAGTAGCTCCCTTCTGAGATAATTGTCACTTGCAAGGGGGCTTGAAGTATTAGTATGTTGTATCTGGCACATAATTAATTTTTAGGACAATAAGTGGACAGAAAGTATGAACTATCTGTAAAGAGTGCAAAGAAGGGGTTTCATCTTGTTTATCAAATAGCCAGTGGCACATTTAATGAATTAGTACATGTTTAAGTTTTTATCTGATTTGCTCTGTGTTAATATGATTGTAAAACTGCAGAGCTATGTGGTGATTTGGGGTTGGATTCCAAAATATAATTCTGAGGATTTAGGGGCACAAAGGTAATAACACTTTGCAGCTTTTAAAACTAGCTGCATTTGTTCCTTGGTCATGTTATAGCTTCAGAGGGAACATGGGGCTGCTGCTTTCAAAAATTAGAGACAGGCATTAACCTTCCTGTTCTAACACACTTCAATGGTCACTAATGAAATCAAACCAAATTATTGAAGAGCCCTACAAAACTTTGTAGGGCTCTTTATCGCTGCATTTCATGTATTATGTCTTTTGAATGGGAAGATTTGTTGTGAATAACGTCCTTTGGCGGGGAGGACGATACGGGACCAAATTGAATCAATCCAATGGGCCCTGATTTTCTCCTGTGTTCAGTTGATTTAAGTTTCTAGGTCTTTTCTTTGCCTTAAAACAGTATACTTATTTCCAGAAAATTCACACATGTTTTGTACAATTCTACATGTACAGTATTTAGCATATTTAAAGGTTAATTTTAGTGGGACTTGATTTTGAAGTTAATTGCTAGAATCAAAAATAAGCATACACATGTGCTTGGATAAATTCAGGTAAGAATGTCAGTGTAGACCTATAGAATAATATGATACATCTCACATTGCTGTTTGCCTCTATAACAATTTGGAAACTGGATTATACATAGAGACATAAAAGAAGCTGGTTTATTTTATGATATTCTGGTTTAAGTGATACTGTGTTTTAATTGTAAATTAGGATTTCTACCCGAAGTGAATATTGTTCCTTCAAGGTCTCATGTGTATTTCAGATACCTCAAACTTCTTTTATGAACTTGCTTTATTTGCACATATGTGTATATGGTAGTGTAGGAAGTTATCACCCAGCTCTCTCCCAGAAAAATGAAATATCCTAGGAAATATTGAAAAGGCAGAATATTTCCCTGGATGTGGAAAAGGAAGAAACATGTTTTAAAGATAGAGTAGCTCCCTGCAGGTTTCTGCCCATCCCATTTGTCAATACACATTTAAGATGCCCAAGCCAGTCCCTTTACATAATAAAGAGTTCTCCCCTTCCGCTCCAAGGTGATGGGATTAAGGCACGATCAGCCTTTGCTCACTCACCACATGGCATCTGAGAACTCAACCAAACCTGGATTCAAAATGCAGCCTAGAGAGTTGCCCCTGCATGGCCCCATGGGAGTCTGACAACCAATCAGAATACAAGCTCAAGATCGAAGGCCAGAGAGGGCATAAAACCAGGGACTTTCAGCATCTCAGCCCTTTTTCTTCTCTTCTTCTCCACTCAACATTGAAGCATGTGATCACCTTTTCTGTTCAGGACTCAAGCCATGTGGTCCTGTCCACCAATAAACCATCTTTCCAAGCAGCCTCCATATCTCCAGTGTCATTTTCCCCACTTGGAGCCGAACCAGAAGGACATTTTTTTCACCCCCTCCTTCCTTCCTTCCTTCCTTCCTTCCTTCCTTCCT